GCCCTATCAAACATAAGAATAGAGATTATGCAATGGTGTTCAAACGTTTTTCATGAATGAATGTTTTCATAGTCTATACCTAGCGAAGACGAGTTATATTATAAAATTAGTTAGAAGTAGGTAGGTAGATAATTTGTGCCAACTGAAGATACGTTATAGTTAGCTGAAATTCATGAAACATCTTTCTTTAAATCTGAATTAACGAATGTTTTTGAGTTTAATTCCATATTATACATAATTGTTAAAATCCTAAGGTTGAACAGTTGACCATAGTATGAGGTTCGTGGTGAAGTCAATCCCTAAGTATTTCTTCTCTTGATTTCAATCCTTTTATTTTGTTTATTTTATTTTATGTTATTAAATTGCATCACAACACAATAAATCAAATCTTCCTTCTAAATGAAAATAACAATTAATTGAAGACTTGATAAACCACCACAGTCCTTGAGGTTCGACACCCTTAACATAGCCCTATCCTATAGGGATTCATTTTATTGCGAGTGGTATTTTATTATTGATAAATAAAAACACACATTAGTAAACGTGCTTGGTTGGATCTTTCGTCCCATCAAACAAAGTGAAGATCAGCATCGAAATCTTCCTCGGCTTTCGTGCATTCAGGATCTCATCTGTGAATGATGAGTTGGCCATCTAGGCTGATTTCCAAAGGGCTTCGAATAGTCTATCTGCGGTTGACTCTTTATGCAATGAGAGATCAGTTTCCTTGTGCTTGATCTCATCTTCCTCCCTTGGTATTCTGTGACTCGGATCCATATGAATGGATCCTTCTCTCTTTTCCTGACAGTTGATGTTCGGTAGCACCACCCTCTTATCTACTGGTAGTGGTTGGGGGATTAGTGGAACATCTTGTCGTTCCAAGTTGGCCCTGAGCTCTACGTTTTCTTGCCTTAGGGTTTCGATCATACTCATCAACTTATTATACCTTGCCTGCTACTTGTTCATCTGCTACACGTTACTCAATCAGTCCCCTTTCCATCTTTTTAACTTCTATTTATAGAAGTGTACATTTGCCCTAACACATCTCCTAAAACTCTAAAACTCGGGCTAATCCTCAGTAGGCCTTCTATTCGAGTTGTAGTGGATAGAAGTCCCCTTCGTAATGCTGAAGAGAGTAGACCTGGGAATGGTGGAACTGATCTTTGGGCCTGGTGGGCTATTTTGAAAGTGGATCAACAGCCCAGCGATGTCCTGGACTGAGTGGACCGGCCAGAAAGAGGGCCAGCCCACTTTCTGCCCCTTCAGCTGTAGTAAAGCAATTGGGTTGAAACAGGATGTGAAGAAAAGCAATTGGGTTGAACTAGACATTGAAAATTTGTTGTATTATTGAGTCTAGAGGTTAACTAGTGTTCGTGTGGAACTGGACTAGTTGTAATCTCTTTCTTTATAGTAGATTTATCTTAGCCTTGCAAAGGCTCCTGAGGTTTTTTGATCCCGAGTTCAGGGGTTTTTACTTGTATATCTAGTGTGTAAGTTTCTATTTATTTTTACCTTATTTCACTTATTAATTGCTTATACATTGCTATGTGATTGATGGATGCCTATATGAATATCATGTCAAAATTAATTGACATATGTTCTCAAGTGTTCAAGGTAATTAACCAGATATAGTATATTACTTATAGGTTGGTAAAAATCATTTGGGGGCTAATTGATTGTTATTTTATTAAATCAGATTTATTTATTTGTTTAAATAAATAATTTACTTGTTTATTTCTGATTTATTTATTTAAGGATCATACACTTAAATGATAATTGAATACAAAAAATATACTCGAGTTAATATTTCCTTGATATATTATCTTCTGCATTCAATAGAAAAGAATTAAGTGAATTTATCTCAAAGTCAGAACAAGTCAAAAATTGGGAACCAACCTATTCACCCCCTCTAGATCATATCTCAAGATTCTATTTCCTACGTTTATGATTGTGACTAGTTACAGTCTCAGTTGAGACCTCTTCAGTTAGATTCACTCCTGAACAAAACTTATAAAAACCATATCATCAAAGGTACATATTGAATATATAAGAACATCAGTTTTAACCATTTTGGCAAATCAATTTCAAGATTCATTGGTGGAGATTGTTAAGGAACTTGAATGATAATAGGAAAGTGGAACCTAATATCATCGTAAACCCTTTTTTGTAATCCTTCATTGCAAATTCAAAATCATCGCAATTAACAAATAGATGCATGCCTTTGTTAAGCCTAGTGCTCTCCGGCGACTCTCTATAGAGACCTTTGGCAATGTCTTGGTTAAATTGCATGCTTAATTAGTTTAAGTTCTTTAAATTCTTGCAAATTGTTTAAATATTACACGTGAAAGATGTGTTTTTGTGGTAGTTGATATAATGTGTATAACCATGCCTATGTGTAATGGAATTTGTGTTTTGTATGCCTAATATGCTTGAATAATGTGAGGTGAAAGCATGAATTATGGATTTTAGAAATTTACTTTGAATTATATGTGTGAAACTTTTATGGTTGAATTGAAGAATTGAAGCATGAAGCATTCTTGCATCCATTGGGGAAAAGAGAAGGGAAAATGTTTTAAAACAAACAAAACTTGTTTTTGGGAAAAAGTTTTCTAAAAGCGTTTGCAAAAACTAGACGCCTAAGAGGTGCCTAGTGGTCCGTGGTGTTAATGTAGTCTAGAGGGGAGTTTGGTTGAGCTAACTAGGCTAGATGCGATGCCTTAGCGGTGCCTTGTGGTCGTGGATAGTTAGCCAATCCTCCTTTTGTGACGCCTTGGAGGTGCCTTGGGTCGGATTACACTAATGGTTTGTAAGTTGAAATGAAAATGTTTCGAATATGGGGAGCAACATTTGCTTGACATTGTAATTCATTAGAGTTTAAGGTGTGTATGTGTTTGGATGATAATTGTTATATACTTGTTGTTTTAGTTGTTGTCATATACTCCCTATGGTATAGTCCAGTTTCCTTTTACTTATTCCTTACGTGGATTCACGGGGTTACAAGAAGTGTGTCTTAGACACTTCTTATTGAGCTTATGCTCACCCTATTATTTTATCATTTTTTAGGTTCGGGAAAAGAAGTAGCGGACGACAATCCACCACAATTCTAGACGAGATTGGGACATTTGTTTTGTATCTTTTGTAATGATAAAGTGTAATATGCATAATGTTACAAATGTAGTGATTGTGAAAGCAAATGGAACTCATGGAATGTAAATTTAGTAAGCATTATTCTGTTGTAAGAGACTATGAAGAACCATGTATCATTATGTTGTTAACGAAATCAAGTAAATGTCGTAATCCATATTCTATGATTGCACTTGTGTTGGGATAGGATTCTTTCAGTTTTAAGGTCCCATAGCAAGACTTATATTTATTTTCATGTTCATGGTAGTCTAGTAGCATTTCTCAGCTCGCCGGACCATTTCGATCGACCGAAATGGCTATTTCGTCGACCTATTCTTCCAGTAACCACCATCACTGTTTGGTCACAATTGGCCGACCGAAATGGCCATTTCAGTCGACTACTATATGAGCTATTTTAGTCAACCGAAGCTCCATTTCAGTCAACTGGTTTGGTTGCTGTATGTGCATTTTGTCTCCTTCTTTTGGTCTAATCAATTTCAGTCTTGGAAAGTTGCTTGGCGTCTTAAAGAATTTATTTATAAGATATAATAATGATGTTAGAGTACTGGACTTAAGAGCGTTGACTTAAGTAACCTCGAGTTTGGGTGAGGATCCGGTTAACGGTTTAGACCTACGGGTTCGGGTCTTACATTAACAAATAGATGCATGCCTTTATTGAGCCTAGTGCTCTGCGGTAACTCTCTGTAGAGACCTTTGGCAATGTCTTCATTGCCCTCCTCATCGAGACCTCTACCATCTCAATCTTAGAGATGTTATGGAGAAAGAAAGAGAGATACTTTAATGTTGGAGAGATGATGCCTTCGTCATTTAAGAAAGAGGCCCTTAAAGAATTTAAATGGGCACTGTAGCCGCTATAGTGCCCATGGCTTCAAAATGAAGCTTACAAAATTGTGAAGGAACTTTTGGCAATTGTATTTTTCATTTATTTATTTATTTTAAAATGCCTAAACCCTGAACATATTTTTTCTATTTCAACTTTTATTTTTATTTTTTCAAAATGACAATTGAAAACTGAAAAAGAAAGTGCTACCAAACAGGGCTAAAGACTTTACGGTTGTTTCATTGTGTTTTTTTACCCGTAATTTAATTTAAATATAACCATTCATTCAATATTGGGACCACTAAAAAATCACATTAATTTACAAATTTTCAATGCTTGATTCTTTCAAAAGAAACAATAGAAATTTTCAATTTTTGTACACCACATGTACACAATTATCTTCCTTGAAAGTCAAAGTTATATGTAACAATCAACAACAAAACTATTATTTGGAGCAATAATTCGGCTATAATAGTATGATAAATGAATTAAAGAAATGTGTGTGGGAAAGAAACTTTCATTACTCCAGATAATATTAGTAGGAGTAACTTTGGAAAATCTTTATCCATTTGCGTGGATTCTCACTGGGATTAGGAAATCAACAGCCAGAGACAACGAAATGGGTGGTGAGCCGCAGTTATGTTTCTTATTATCCAAGATGTGAAGAACAATAAGGTAGGTGCGTAAAGGAAAAAGTCTTCCAATAATTAATGAAAATCCGTTAAAAGAGGTATTCTAATTTGAACAGTATTAGGTCTTCACTAATTAATTAAAATCAGTAAAGAGGTTTTTTAATTTGAACAATATTTATGTAATGAACCAAAAATGATACCAATCATATAAAAAAAAATTCGGCATGACCTCTGCTAAAAAGGGTTCTACACAACCTGCTGAAATGCATAAAAATGCAATGGCCTCTCTTAGACCTTCAAAACTTATCTAACCTATCCCAACACGCAATGCAAATAATACATTTCAACACTCCTTTCATCCATTCATTATGCCTCAACATTGTTCATTTGATGGTGGAACAGCCACATACCATTTAATCCAAATATCATAATTATAGTCCCCAAAAAAATGGCTAAGATCAAAAGTCCATGTCTTACAATTTTTAGACAAGTTATCTTAAAGTTATAGCCCATGAATATAATTACAATAACAAGAGTTCATAAGTCTCAGTACATAATACAACATGTTAAGTTTTAGAAAAATAGTGGGACTTAGATACAAAAATAACAAAATGATCATCTAATTCATACTAGGCCTACGGTGGAACGTCATCCGCGACTTCTTTTCCTGAACCTGAAAAATGTTAAGATGATGGAGTGAGCATAAGCTCAGTAGAAGGTGCCTAAGACACACCTCTTGAGACCCCATGAATCCACACAATGAATGGAAAATAGAGAAGATGGGAAAATGCTATGTCGGGGAGAAAATAACCACAATATCACATCAATAATCCAAGTCATGAATGAACTATGCCGTGCAAGGGGATGTAATGTCATACAATGTCGCTCCCCATTTCTAAAACCTTTTCCGTCATCATTTCTAAACCGTTAGTGCAACCCGGCCCATGGCAACTCCATGGTAGCACGAGAGAAGGATTGGCTAACTGTCCTTGACCTATGGCAACTCCATGGTAACATTTGGCCCAGGTAACTGAACCACACTAGGGTACTCTCCCCAGTTCCCTCTAGGCCACACTAACGCCATGGTCCCTAGGCAACTCCTAGGCGACAGGGTTTCGCAAACCCTTTCAAAACTTTTCCCCAAAAACCCATTTCATTTCTTTCAAAACTATATTCCCTTTTCTTTCCCAATGAAGTGCATGGATGCTTCATGCTTCACAATGTCATGCTAATAAATAATTTCATTCTTTGTAAGTCAAATATTCACAATATACATACCTTGTGGAAAATTTCTAAAATTTTATATCATGTTTTTAAGTAAAAAAATTCAGCAAATAAAACACAATAGGCATGAACTTATCATTACTTTAGCATGTTTATTCATCATATACCAACTAACAATTAGTCACACCCCATATATAACATATAACAAATATTGAATGAAATATACACAAATTAGGCATGTTATAGCACAAATTATGAAGAATTAACTCACAAAGTCCATAAATTGTGGACTAGAAACCCCTAACTCTTAATTGAAGAAAAACCCCCAAAATTCCCAAAATCAAGCCCTAATTTTGAAATCCAAGGGTTGTGCTAAATGGTGCTTAGCTCCAATCAAATCGATGGCCTCGACGAGCTCTTCGACTTTGCTTCACAAGTTTCTAACAAATTCTAAAGGGATAAAGCTAGATCAAGCCTAAAATGTGGAGGGAAAAAAAAGAAAAAAATGAAGTGCTAAGAGAGAGAAATTTTGTAGAGAGAAGTAAGAAAAGCAAAATGGGTTTGCAATGACCCATTAGTCATTGTAATGACTTAAAGTAAAAGTGGGTCCCGCAGCTAAAATAAAAAATTCTTTTAACATATATATATATATATATAAAACAAATCATAAACATTACATTCTCCCCAAGTTTAAAAGATTTTGTCCTCGAAATCAAGCCATACTTGAGGGAGAAAATAACTCTGGATACTTGGAGCTAACCTCCTGTTCAAGCTCCCAAATAGCCTCCTTAACTCCGTGATGCCTCCAAAGAACCTTTACCAATGGTATCGTCTTGTTCCTCAACACCTTTTGCCTTATGTCAAGGATCTGAATTGGTCATTCCTTGTAGGAAACATCCTCATCAATGTCCACATTAACCTAACTTAAAATGTGAGATGGATACGACTCGTACTTCCGTAGCATTGATACATGAAAGACATTGTGGACTCTGTCCATTTATGGTGGCAAAGCAAGTCTATAAGCAACCTCTCCTACCTGATCCAAGATCCCAAAAAGTCCAATGAATCATGGCAATAACTTGCCACTTTTCCCGAACCTCATCAACCCCTTCTGTGGAGAAACTCGAAGAAAAACGTGGTCTCCCACCTCAAAGGATAACGATCATCACCGTCTATTCGCATAACTCTTCTATCGGCTTTAAGCTGTGAGCAACCTCTGGCTGATTAGCTTAATCTTCTCAGTAGTCTTAACTAACATGTCGGGTCCTAAGGCGGCTGTCTCGGCTACCTCAGTCCAACAAACTGGAGACCTACAAGGTCTACCATACAATGCTTTAAATGGAGCCATTTGAATACTCGCTTGACAATTATTGTTGTAGGCAAACTCAATAAGTGGAAGGTGATCTTTCCAATTATCTCCCAAATCAAGCATACATGCCCGAAGCATATCCTCCAAGATCTGAATGGTATGCTTCGACTGGCCGTCCGTCTATGGATGGAATGCCGTACTAAAATGCAACGGTGAGCCAAACGTTGCGTGAAGTCCTTCTTAGAACTTCTAGGTGAACTTGGCATATCCCTATCTGAAATAATAGATACTGGAACTCCGTGCAACTTCACAATTTCCTTTACATACAATACACCAAGTGCCTCTACGTCATCTGTTGCCTTAATAGGCAAGAAGTGAGCTATCTTGGTCAATCTATCAATAATGATCCATATAGCCTCATTTCCCCTCTGTGACCTTGGAAGACCTATCACAAAATCCATAGCGATCTGCTCCCATTTCCACTACGCTACAGGCAATGGTTGCAACAAACCAGCGGGTCTCTGATGCTCGGCCTTCACCGGTTGACAGGTAAGGCATCTAGCCACAAACTATACAACATCCTTCTTCATTCCATTCCACTAATACTGTCTTTTCAAATTGTGATACATCTTGATACCACTTGGATGAACTGTAAAGCGGGAAGTGTGAAACTCCCATAAGACGACCTTCTGACAAATTGTGGGAATGACCAACAAACCTCTGAACCATAGATCGCCATCTGTATGCAAGGTCCAATCTTTTTTTGTCTTACCACTGGAGATCAAAGTGTGAATGGCATCTAAATCTGAATCATTTCTTTATGACTCAATCACCCGTCTGACAAGAGTGGGCTAAGCCACGAGACTAAACAAGAATGTTGACTCACTGCCATCATCATCATCAAAGCAATACAATCCCATTTTTGCCAAATTTTCAAGCATCTTCCACTTTCGAATGGCTAAACTGGTCAAAGTCCCTCAAGATTTTTGGCTTAAGGCGTTAGCTACCACATTTGCCTTGCTTGGATGATACTGCAAGTTAAAGTTATAATCTTCCAAAAACTCAACCCACGCATCACCTCTGTCTGTTGTTCAAGTCCTTTCGAGAGAAAAGGTACTTGAGACACTTGTGATCCGAGAACACTTCAAATCTTTCGCTATACAAGTAGTGTCTCCAACACTTCGAAGCAAACACGACTGCCACTAACTCTAAATCTTGAGTAGGGTAGTTAAGCTTGTGATTCTTCAACTGTCGAGACCCATACACCATTACTCTACCATCCTGTATCAACACACAACCCAAACCATCACGTAAAGCATCATAATAAATCACATAACCCAAGCCACGCTCGGGTATCACCAACACTGGAGCTGTAGTCAATCTTGTCTTTAACTCTTGAAAGAATGACTCACAGGCTTCAGTCCATGTAAACTTAATTCCCTTTCAGGTCAATCTAGTTATAAGAGCTGCTAGATGGGAAAAATCCTTCACAAATCTATGATAGTAGCCCGCTAGACCAAGAAAACTTCGGATCTCAAAAATATTTTTGGGTTGCTCCCAATTCAGAACTGCCTTTATTTTTGAAGGATCAACTGAAACCCCACTTTCTGAGACAACATGCCCTAAAAATTACACCTCTTATAGCCAAATCTCACACTTTTCATATTTGGCGAACAAATGGTGCTCTCGTAGAATCTACAACACTATACTCAAATGGATCTCGTGCTTCTCCTGAGTCCATGAATATACAAGAATGTCATCCATGAAAACTACCACAAACTGATCCAAGTAATCATGGAAGACATGGTTCATTAGGTCCATGAATGCCGCTGGTGCATTAGTCAGACCAAAGGCCATGACAAGAAACTCATAATGTCTATATCGTGTATGAAGCGCTTTCTTTAGGATATCTTCATCCCTAACCCATAACTGATAGTAGCTTGACCTCAAGTCTATCTTCAAAAAATAGCAAGCTCCCCTCAACTGGTCAAATAAATAATCTATCCTTGGCAAATGATACTTGTTGTTGATGGTAGCATGATTTAACTTCCGGTAATCAATACACAACCTCAAAGAACCATCTTTCCTCTTAGCGAATAAGACTGGTACGCCCCACGGTGACACACTTAGTAGAATGAAGCCTTTCATCCTCAAATCATCAAGCTGCTTCTTTAATTCTTCCAACTCTACTGGTGCCATACGATATAGTGCCATAGAAATTGGTGCGGTACTGGGCATCAAATCAATAGCAAACTCCACCTCTTGATGTGGAGGCAACTCTGTCAAGTCCTTCGGAAAAACATCCAAGAAGTCACGAACAACTGCTGGATAAACCCCCTCTGCAACACCATTTTCTTCGGCTAAAAGACTAGCCAAGCAGTAATCACCACGACCTCGTCCACGAACCCCGTACAATGATGGAGTATGGGAATCACTCCGATCTCTCATGAAAAAGAAACAGTCTCCCTTAGGAGTACAAACTATGACTCCACCTCTTAAATAGTCGATCGTAACACGAAAAGAAGCTAACCAATCCATCTCGAGAATGATATCAAAACTAGTCAACTCCAAGAGGATAAGGTCAAACATAAGAGTCAGTTCGGCTATCACAATTGAACAATCCCTCACAACTTTGCTCAAAGACACTATAACCCCAACTGGTATATCAAGACACAACGCCCGATCCATAAAACTGACCTCTAACCCCGATACAAGTGCAAATGATGATGATATGAAGGAATGAGATGTATCAAAGTCAAATCAAGAACTAAATACTGGGAAAATAGCTCAGAGAATTGATGGACCTGTAGACGTATCAGCCTTGACAACAACATAGACACGCCCCTGTGGTGCCTGTGCCTGTGAAATGCCAACCTGAACACCTGACTGCTGTATTGACATAGTAGGAGTATCTCTCCTAGCTGGTCGTGAACCCTGAGAAGACATAACAGGCTATGGTGGTGGTGGTGATTTGAAACCTGACTGAGATGTAACTGACTGTATCGGCCTCTGCTGTGACCCTCTGCCACTACCAGTATCTGCTTTCCGATTCGGACAATCCTTAAGCCTATGGCCCTAGTAGCCACAACCAAAGCATACTCCCTAATTAACCGATGTCTGTGGACACTCTGCCTTGTAATGACCTGGTTGATTGCAATGATAGCAGACGACACCACACCTAGAAGACCCTACTGGCATAAAGGTAGTAGGAGCAGATCGTATAGACTGTTGTCCCTAAAACTGAGACAAACCACCCTTAGTCTTCTTCCATGACTACCCCTCTGAAGATGATCTCGCATTCCTCTTTTGCTTCTACTGTTCTCTTCCTGTATTTTTATCTTTAGCTTCCTCCTCTAACATTAATGCTCTTTCCACTACCTCCGTATAAACCTTGAAGTACTGTGCCGTTATCAATAGACTCATTTGGTAATAAAGGCCAGAGACAAACTTTCGAGTCTTGTCAGCCTCATTTCTTACTAACTCAGGTGCAAAGAGAGAAAGAGAGGTGAACTTGTTTTCATACTCCATCACTGACATATTGCCTTGTATGAGATCATCAAACTATTTCTTAGTTCCCACCATATCTTCAACCTTGTGCTGGTTAGTGACCGACTTCCACCAAAGCTTGACGTCCTTGGAAAATTTATAAGTGGCTAAGATAATTTTCAAATGATCATCCGTCACATCCATAGTCGAAGTAGTCATCCGCTACCATTGGATCTGCACCACCCTCAAACATTATTGGCATCAACTTTGAAAACCCAAAAATCAACTTGAGACGTTTTACAGTGGCATCGTGCTATAAAACAAGAAAATGGTTCAATAACGATAACACTAAGGTCCAATCGTAAACAACTCAACACAAAAGGATACTATATTAACACTTAACATGCAATGCTATGCAATAAGCACATTAGCATAAACATAGAAGCACTTAAGCAAGTAAACAGTTAAGCATTTTTATTTTTATTTTTTTTCAAATAGCAAAAAAATTTTGCAATTAATTAAATAACAATGCAAATGACTTCCCAAATAACCCTATGTAGGCCTCTACCTGTCGTCGTAATGGTTTTCGAACCATTGCTCTGATACCAAATTTTGTAATGAACCAAAAATGATACCAATTATATATATATATATATATATATATATATATATATATATATATATATATATAAATTCAGCATGATCTCTGCTAAAAAAGGTCCTACACAACCTGCTGAAATGCATAAAATTGTAATGGCCTCTCTTGGACCTTCAAAACTTATCTAACATGTCCCAACATGCAATGCAAATAATACAGTTCAACATTCCTTTCATCCATTCATTATGCCTCAATATAGTTCATTTGATGGTGGAACAACCACTGACCATTTAGTCCAAATATCATAATTACAGTCCCAAAAAAAATGGCTAAGATAAAAAATCCATGTCTTACAATGTTTAGACAGCTTATCTTAAAGTTACAGCCCATGAATATAATTACAATAATAAGAGTCCATAAGTCTCAGTATAGAATACAACATGTTAAGTTTTACAAGAATAGTGGGACTCAGATAAAAAAATAACAAAATGATCATCTAATCCATACTAGGCCTGCGGTGGAATGTCATTCGCTACTTCTTTTCCCGAACTTGAAAAATGTTAAGATGAAGGAGTGAACATAAGCTCAGTAGGAGGTGCCTAAGACACACCTCTTGAGACCCCGTGAATCCACACAATGAATGAAAAATAGAGAAGACGGGATCATGCCATGTCGGGGAGAAAATAACCACAATATCACATCAATAATCCAAGTCATGAATGAACTATGCCGTGCAATGGGATATAATGTAATGCAATGTTGCTCCCCATTTTCAAAACCTTTTCCAATATCATTTCTAAACCGTTAGTGCAACCCGGCCCATGGCAAGTCTATGGCGCCATGAGAAAAGAATTTGCTAACTGTCCTTGACCCATGGCAACTCCATGGCGTCATTTGGGGCCCAGGTAACTCAACCATGCTAGGGCACTCTCCCTAGTTCCCTTTAGGCCACACGAATGCTATAGTCCCTAGGCAACTCCTAGGCGGCTGGGTTTTCACAAACCCTTTCAAAACTTTTCCCCAAAAACCTATTTCATTTCTTTCAAAACTATATTCCTATTTCATTCCCAATGAAGTGCATGGATGCTTCATGCTTCACAATGTCATGCCAATAAAGAATTTCATTCTTTGCATGCAAGTCAAATATTCACAATATATATGCCTTGTGAAAAATTTCTAAAATTTTACATCATGTTCTAAGTCACAAAATTCAGCACATAAAACACAATAGGCATGAAATTATCATTACTTTAGCATGTTTATTCATCATATATCAACTAACAATTATTCACACCCCATATACAACATATAACAAATATTGATTGAAATATACACAAATTAGGCATATTATAGTACAAATTATGAAGAATTAACTGACAAAGTCCAAGAAATTATGGATTAGAAACCCCTACCTCTTAATTGAAGAAAAGCCCTAAAATTCTCAAAATCAAGCCCTAATTTCAAAATCCAAGGGTAGGGCTAAATAGTGCTTGGCTTCTATCAAATCGACAGCCTCGACGAGCTTTCTGACTTTGCTTCACAAGGTTCTAACAAATTCCAAAGGGATAAAGCTAGATCAAGCCTAAATTGTGGAGGGAAAAAAAAGAAAAAAATGAAATGCTGAGAGAGTGAGATTTCGTAAAGAGAAGAAAGAGAAGCAAAATGGGTCTGCAATGATCCATTAGTTATTGTAATGACTTAAAGTAAGAGTGGGTCATACCGCTAAAATAAAAAATTCTTTTAACACACACACACACACACACACATATATAAAATAAATCATAAACATTACAATTTTGGTCCTTACTAGTGAGGATCTACACCACTGCTGATTTGGACTAATAATAAATTGAATTGACAAATTCTATTTATTATCAAATTCAATATAATGGGGTAAATACCCATTTACCAAATCAGAGATGGTGATTTAACCATCTATTATTGGTCCACATTAGCGAGACCTAAGTATTGTTCTTCTAATTTTTATAGAACTTTATTGAAAACATATTTCAAATGTAGGATTTTGTTGTCCAAATAAATTTTTTTATTGGATTTTATTGTGTTTAAATTGCAAAACTCGATTAATATGTAATTTTTCAATCTAAAAATCAACATAAATTGCTAATGAAACTTGTAGTTAGAGGTGGTTGCATCTTTCAATTTCAAACATAAAAAAATTTATTGGATGTGTACACCCACTGTAAGAAGTGAACGATATTTAGGCCTACTAGTTTGTTCTATTTGTCGAAATGGAACAATTATGGTCATTGTTGGCTTGAAATGAGACTTCATTTCAAACCCCTGAGACCATCAATAATCTTTTATTGTTTCTGTTTGATAAATAATCCTTTAGCTGTGAAGAAGGTACCTCTGTCAAAGGAAAATCATTTGTCGTCCTTGATGACCTCTTCTACCCCAAAGAGGTCTAGTTTGTTCTATTTGTCGAAATGGAACAATTATGGTCATTGTTGGCTTGAAATGAGACTTCATTTCAAACCCCTGAGACCATCAATAATCTTTTATTGTTTCTGTTTGATAAATAATCTTTTAGCTGTGAAGAAGGTACCTCTGTCAAAGGAAAATCATTTGTCGTCCTTGATGACCTCTTCTACCCCAAAGCATGTCTCTCCACCCCGATGACGGTCCACGGTTACCATAGTCATTCTTTCTTTTCCCAATGTAAGTGTCTTTACTTGTTTTGGGTGTACTACTCTTTACCTTCTTCTTTGTTTTGATTTCTGATTCCTTGGTTGTTAGGGGACTAGGATCGAATGAAACAATCCCATCAATTTGCTCATCTTTGCAAGATTCAGAGACTCTAACAATCTCATCCTCTGCATATGAATCTGCCCCTCCTTGCCATAGCATCATTGCAAATTTGAGGCTCTCCACCACATCAGTCATGGTAGGTCGTTCATTCGGACTATTATGCAAACATTTGATGGCAATATTGGTAAACTCCCTCAAACAATGTGGCAGCATCTGCATCCTCACACTAGGGTCAATGATCTGATCAAGGGTTCCCTCTCTGAAGGAGTGTTGGGCCCACAATGCTAAACTATGCTGCAGCTGCTCCTCAAGCTCGACATCCACAGCCGGCCTTCCACATAACACTTCAAACAATACCACACCAAAGGCATATACATCAGATTTCTTCGTCAATCTACGAGTCATGAAATACTCAGGATCCAGATAACCGAATGTGCCTTTAACGTTGGTGCTAACATGGGTGTGCAATAGGCTTGTAGTATCCATTTTGGACAGGCCAAAATCTGAAATCTTAGCTACCAAATTTTCATCCAGCAAAATGTTTGAGCTCTTGACATCTCGATGAATAACTCCCCTACTTGTATGTAGGTAGTCTAGCCCTTGTGCCGCACCAATGCAGATGTTGAGTCGTTGCTCCCAAGTGAGAGGTGAATATTCACTAGGACCCTTCCTTTGATTTTTGAATAAATGATCACCAAGCGTTCCAAGGGCCATGTAGTCGTAGACAAGGATCATCTCTGGACTTTGGTCACAGTAGCCAATCAGAGAGACAAGATGATTGTGCCGGAGCTTTGAAAGGGTCTTGATCTCTGTCCAAAATTCGTTAGCCCCTTGATTGGAATGTAAATTCAAACGTTTTATGGCCACAGTACCGGTGGTCCCAAAGATCAGGCCTTTGTATACTTTACCAAATCCACCACTCCCAATGACAAGTTTATCATCAAAGTTGTTTGTAGCCAACTTGATCTCAACAAGTGAAAAGCGTCGGCATAAATCCTCCTCCTCCACCATGCCCATTGATGATGGTGAGATGTTTCTTTCTCCAGCGTTTTGTTCCGGAGATATATTAATCAATTGGTGAATGATGACATTTAACAGAGTAAGAATAACTATCATACCTGTTACAATCGCATTTCTACTGCCAAAAGCTGATAGTAATTTTCGGAGACTCGTGGTCCAAGATGTCGAAGTATGTGCAGTAGAAATATTGTTGGAATCTGCAAGATTGTTGTCCGGGTTGCTCAACTTGAATATCTCAATCCCTTTTAGGATTCCGTCAGCATTTTTACTGCTCGACTCATACTTGGGCTGCAAAGTTATAATTATGTCACGCTTGCCTTCCATCTTGTTGCCTTCCATTAAGGCCATATAGTCCCTATATATTGCAGCAATCCCACTATTACCGCTCCAATTGATTACAAGTGCATCACTTTCAACCATGTGACCATTTATTAAGAGAGCAAACTGTTTTTGGCCACTGTCAACGATTGCAGGTTCAAGCTCACAGAAATGGAGCCTAACCAAATACCTGAATCCCAAATTTACGGGTAATTTCCAAGTGAAGCTCCCAGATTGTTTGTTTGAACCGATTGACCAGGCTGTTTGATAAACTTCAGGTGGTGCTGTGTATGTGGGTATGTTTGTGTATGCGTTGCTTGTACTTACTTGTAAAAGACCTGATTGTAACAAGTAATTCTTGTCCTCAGACCACGCGCGGAACATACCGCCCAAATCTTCTACCGACAAAATGAATCTCCCTCCCACGTTTAACCGGTGAACCATCTCCAGTGCAGTGCGGTTATCAATAAAGTATCGGAAACTAGTGCCCACCACACGAGCGCCCAAACCACCATCTGGAGTGTAATAAAGACCAGCTGGCATGGAAACAAACTCAATTCCATTGATAAAAGAATATGCATCTTTGGAAGTAGTAATTTGAGATGGAGAGAATGTGATGTTGAACACTCCATTTTCTACTACATTCACACAGAATTCTTTAGCAAAATACTTTACGCCCAAAGCATCAGCATAAATGGAAGGACTAAAGTTGCTGAGGAGAGTGTAACGACCAGCTCTAACAGTGAAAACCGCCTTGGATCTTTCGAAACCACGGTAAGAAACTGGATAGAAGTGCAGGCGAATGAATTTTTGACCCGACCTTAGTTGAAATGTATAGGTGAATTGAGAACGAGAGAGGCGAGCGGTCATGTATGGAACAGGATCGATGAAAAGTGATTGGTGGACAGTTTTTGAGCTCACTGTTTTGCCTTCTAGTTGTTGTGACGAAGTCAATTTATCTCCGACCCATTCCCGGCCATCAAAAGCAGATGAGTTGCCGGAGGAGCCGCAATTAATGGCTATGTCTTCAACGAAATAACAAGGGGGGTCGGAAGAGTAGTTACCAGTGAATCTAAATCCAAGATGATGAACAAGGTAGATTGAGAAAATAATCCCAAGTGGAAAGAGATGCATGCTTTTTGGAGTTTGGGACAGAACCAACGTGTTCGTTTGTTTAGCAAAAAATAAAATATGAACACACTCAATATGCAGAACTCAATTTGCATTTGAGATGAGAGAGAACAAGTCAGCAAACATCATCTATCAGTTCTTCTTCAATACTTTTCTATTTTATTTATTATTTTTAATTTTTGGCAGTTTAGGATAAGAACAATGATAAGAGTAGAATATTATTTGGACAGTGACTTTGCGAATGATAATGTGGTTGCTAACAGGTCCACTCGTTTTAATGTGATTGGCTCACTCACTCAACTTCCTTGGCTGCGAATGTCAAGCCAATGTGATTTATTTAATTATTATTTTTTTTTTCATTTGAAAGGCACAAAGGTCAAGCCAAAGTGACAGTACAGAGGCATAAACTAAGCCAAATAAAGACATACAAATCATGAAATAATACAAGAAAAATGAAGAACATGTTTCAGATTTGTTGAGAAATAGCCACCGCTCTAGAACGAAAATCACTAAGGGAGAAGAGTAGCAACTGGAGTGACCAAAGGTCAGGCCATCATCAAGGCAACATCTCCATAGCTGCATCTACAAGGCGCGTCCACACACCTAACACTGCACAAGATCAAATCAAGCCGGAGAAAACAAAAATCGACCTAGATAAGAGATCCAGCCGAAGGGAAAACAATAGATCCACCCTGTTGAGTCGGAAACAAACCAAACAAGAGCAAAACTAGCCACACAAAAACAAAAAAACCACGTAAAAACCACTCACATGGCAAATTTATTGAGACACGTCGAGGTTATTAACTTGTGGGACGCAAGCAAGGGCACCTCCCCACTCCCATGGAAGGGATTGGCTTACAGGTTCTTCTAGACAATTAGACTTAACATAGTTGTAGTAGGTTTGGATATTGAAGGAGTGGACCTCAATAACCTCTCCCTTCTCCTTTTCACTTCCTTGCCATATAAAAGTTGTATTTATTTGCCACTTGCTTCAATTTTTGTTTTTTCCTTGGGTAAGTTAGATATTATTAAAAGAAAGGAGAAAAAAAACACACACACAAATATAAGCTACTTGAAATTATAAAGATGGGTTTGTAAGAATTGAAATTAGTCATTGTGGAGGGAGAAATCTCCCTGCCAGTGAAATTTAACCACGTCAGCAAAAGAGTTCAGAATCACTTCTTTCGGGCCATCAAATATTTAAGGCCCAAATTGATCAGCCCAAAAAGGCCATAGTCAATATCTCAGCCCATTGATGAGCACTGAAAAATGCTTAGGCATTCTAGTACCTTTATCTATCTTACTTTACGATTTCGTATTATTTCAATTTTCAGGCACTTGTCCCAAAAATAAGCTAACTCAGCCAAATAAGAGCTTAATTGAAGCAATTCTGAAATTAAACAAAGAAAAGAGCAAAGTGGAGGAAGAAAGAAGCAAAATGAAGGAAAGCAGCAAATTCGATCGATCCAAGTCCAAGGTTCGATCGATCGAACATTAATCGATCTCAGTACTTCAAGATAGATCCAAGCCTTGACCCAAAAGCACTTAAGTCCAAAAGTTCGATCGATCCAACATCATTCTTCGATGGATCGAACACCATTATCCTTATCCAAATGATTGATCTTATCCATAACTGTCCACCCACTAACAACTTTTGTCCTTTTCCCATTTATATCTCCCATAAATATCTCGGATTTGTCTTTTTCTAAAAAGCTCAGCCAGTTGGATCGATCCAGCCTAAGTTCGATCGATCTCACTTACTTTCGATTGATCCAAGTTCGAGATTCGATCGATCGAACTTCCTCCAGTGCGAAAAAGTTAAAATTCCATCTCATTGAAAGTTGTCCTTTATCCAATCATTAGGGAATATTGTGTGCACGACCCCAGCTCATTTTGGGTGTCATTTTGACCTACCTATATAAGGATAAGGATTGCTTTTTCAAGGGGAGCCAATTGAATATTCATATCATCTCTTAGAGAGGAAGTTTAGAGGAGGAGGAGGCTAGAGACACCATTGGAGACTCTTCATCAACAAAGAGCAGATTTCAACTATTGAATTAGCTCTTGAGGGTTGGAGCATCATCACCATGAGTGGCTAGACATCCTCTTGGGGCTAAAGTTAGCCCCAAGCATGCTTTCTATATCTTAATCTTGTGTATTATTGAGGGATTAGTGTTGTAATTGATGTTTTGACACTTTGATATATATAGATCTTGTTTATTCAATGATTTATGTGGTTTAATGCTTCCAATTGGTCATTTCATTCTATCCATATGTCTATGTATGCTAGAATAGATGTTCATGTGCTTATCTCTAGATTTTGTGTTATTGCTGCATGTCTATGTGTATTGATGCTATAGATTTAGAGATTGTCAAAACATTGTGCTTAAAAGAATGCTTTTGTGATTCTCTTGATGGTTCATGCTTATCTCTTGATGGATTGTGCGTCTCCCCTAGTTTATTTTCATGCTAGGAGTGTAGATGTAGTGTAGTTGTAGTGAAGTGTTAAATGGGAGGATAATCTATGCTTGTTGTTTGATGATCTAAGCTTTTGAATGCAATTAGCATATATCTCTATCCTCGTGTTGTATTTGGATTGTGAGCTTAATGAAAGGATTAATGACTTGTTTTGATTTGTTGTGCCTTTCACATGTTGTTTAGACAATATATGCTTCATAGCTTAGATATATTGTGCCTTTCACATGATGTTTAGACAATACATGCTTAACTAGTCATCCTTACTTGTTGAATCAACCAAATACACACACACCAATATTGCAACCCACTATTTGCCCTCATTAATCACTTGTCAATGATATAGAAATGCATTGCTTGGTGGTGATCTCTAAACCCCAAGATCTCTCTCTCTCTTTTACTTACTCTTAATTGCACTCTTTTACTATTACTTAGTTTAATTTAGTTGCTCTTTAATCAACTAACCAACTAATTATTTGATCACTCGACGTACTAGCCCCAATTGTGATTCCACGACATTGCTCGATCCTCATAGTCCCTTGGGACGATCCCTACTCACTCTTGCTATGTTAGTAGTAGTGTTGGTAGTAGTTTTTATAAATTTAAATTTGACCCAAAAAGCTTTTCTTGAACCTCACATTCACTACATCAATTTGGCGTGTAGGAACAGCGACGCTTCCGTCACCCATTATGAGACTAATTGAAGTTATCTCTCCGCCCAATACAATTCATGATAAGGATCAGATCAATCACGACATCAAAGGAGCCTCACATATGAGCTATAAGAAGAAAGAGCCCCCTATAGAAGAAGCCTCATATGGAACAAAATGTAAAAGGAAAATGGTAAACAAATCGTGGGGGCCAAGTAAGGCAAGTCTTACCATAATTTTACCACCAAATCTTGTATAAATAGACGCATGAACTTATAAGGAAAGATATCGAAAAATTCCCAATTTTTATTATGCATTATTTTTATTGTTTTCATTGAGTGTGTTGTTTTTATTCTTTGACTCATCAGAGTTAACAAATTTTTGCATCTATACTTTGGTGCTGTTTGTGGGAAGCGTATAGAAATATACCCCCACGAGTGATTAGTTATTTTTTTTATGCGACTACTGGTGTCAACCAAATTAATGTGATAGAATGTGGCCAAGTTTAAATTTGTAAAATGCCACTACCACTTCCAACTAAAAATATAGCTAGAGTGAGTAGGGATCGTCCCAAGGGATCGGAGGTGTATTTGTGATGGAAATTAATGTCGGATTAGTAGGTTGAGTGATCAAAGATGATTGGTGGTTGTTTAGTTAAACTACAATGCAATTAAAGATTAATACAAGTAACAAGCAATCTAGAAAGTAAGGAAAAGATATAGGAAAGAGGAATTGGGGCTTTAGAGTTCACCACTAAGCTTGACTTCACTAAATACTAGCAATTGTACATTAATGGGGAAATTAAATTGTAACTTGTGTGTGTGTGTGTGACCTCAATTGAAACTAAACATGGATGGCAAATAAGTATAGATTGTCTAGCCATTTGTAATGAAAAATACAACCTATCAAATGAGACTAATTTTCATTCAATAAAACCACAATGAATGCACACACAATTATCTAGAAACATACACCTTTTGCATTCATAAGTATGGAACATCAAGAAACAAGAATAGATTGTCCACCTATCTAAGAATTTAAAGCAACTACACTACATTTAAGCTAAAGACATAAAAATTAAACTAATTAAACTAAGGGTGTGGCACAATCTATCAAGAAACAAGTGTGAACCATCAAATAAATCACAAGAGTGTTCAATTAAGTACTATGTTTTGATCATCACTAGATTAACATCATCAATACGCATAAACATGCATTAGTTCCATTAAATCTACAGAAAAGCACATGAATCATCCATTCTAGCATACATAGACATATGATTAGAGATAGATGATTAATTGAAACCATTAAAATCCATACACATAAAGTAGAAACCACAAGATATATATATTAATCCAAGATCAAAACATTTGTTACAATTAAATCCCAAAAAATATACAAAACACTAGGTCTAAGAAGCAAACTTAGGGGCTATCTCTAGCCCCAAGTGAAGGATTTAGCCACTCATTGCAGTGGTCATGGAACCCTCAAGGGCTAACTTGGAGGTTAACGTCATCATCTTCATCCTTGCTTTCTTCCCAAAACCCTAGTTCTAAAGAGCAAAAGATATTTTTCTATTTTTTTTTTCTAATGAATTCTCTATATGTCTCCACAATAATGCTCAATAAATCAATTACATACTCCTTTGAGTAAGGACTAAGTTAGAACTATAGCCTCTGATTGGAAGAATTTCGCAGCTACACAAATTAGGTAGAAAACGGTGCGCTCGGGAATTAGACAGCTCATTGCCAGTAGCATTTTCGATCGATCGAAGATTTTTGATTGATCAAACACTTGGCTTTGATCGATCGAAGCTGACGTGGCACAAAATATCTTCCACGCTTCATCCCATTGGCTGAGCTGGCACCGCTTTGATTTCGATCGATTGAAGATCACTTCGATTGATCGAGACTACCCTTCGATCGATCGAAGTTCCCCTGGTGCATTTTTCTTGGCTTCTTTCCATCTTTGCTCCTTAGCTCCAAAAGTGGTCTAAATGGCTCTTATTAGCTTGTTTATAC